AGGGAGCCCGATGTGGGGCTCGATCCCAGGACCCTGGGATCATGACCTGAGCCGAAGGCAGACGCTTAACGACTGAGCCACCCAGGCGCCCTGAGGTAAATGAATTTTTAACATGGCCAGAAAGGATACACAACTGCGGGATTGTAGTTGCCACTGGAGAGGGAGGTAGAGAATTTGGTTACTGAGAGATATTTACTACTGCATCTGTGATGTTTCACTTTTTTTTTTAAAGGTCAGGAACAGATAAAGTGAGATGTTAATATTTGTGAAATTCGGGTGTTGGTAAATGAGTCTTTGTTATATCACCCTCTGTAATTGACATCTTGCTTCCAACTCAGCTAAGTACTACATCTTCTCTTTCCACTGCCCTCAAGTTCCCCCACTCGTAATTCATGTGCCAGAGCCGAGCCTAAAAAATGCAAATATGCTTAGAAACACCCAGAAGTTCCTTGGGCCTTCTGGCCCCCAAAAAAAGAGAAGGTGTTGAAAGACAAGCATGAAAGAAGCATAAAAGGGCATGCCTGAAATAAATGCCTTTGAAGAGTGTTCTCAGACAAATATTCAGCATGTGACTATGTGTTTATTTCCGGAAAGGCTTAGGATGACATTTTCCCCTTTGTTTGTTTCTTTTTTTTTTTTTTTTAGAGAGAGGGCAGGGGCAGAGGGAGAGGGAGTAAGAGAATCTCCAGCAGCCTCTCTGCTGAGCTTGGAGCCCTAGGCGGGGCTGGATTTCATGACCCTGAGATCATGACCTGAGCCGAAATTATGACCTGAGTTAAAATCAGAAGTTGCACACTTAATCGACTGAGTCACCCAGGTGCCTCTTTCCCTTCTTTTAAAAAAATACATCCTGGGACGCCTGGGTGGCTCAGTCAGTTAGGCATCTGCCTTTGGCTCAGGTCATGATCCTGGGGTCCTGGGATTGAGCCCAATGTCGGGCTCCCTGCTCGGCGGGGAGCCTACTTCTCCCTCTCCCTCTGCTCCTCCTCCCCACCGCTCATGCTCTATCTCAAATAAATAAAATCTTAAAAAAAAAATACAGCTTAATAAAAGGTGTTGAAGCAAAGGAAAAACTTCTCAAAGTTGTATCTTCATTAAAATACATGTTTCACATGTATATAAAAAGACCCTCCAAAATCATTGCTCAGGAAATAATTTATTGATTCAGTTTAAACTAAGCATTGTCACCATCGCAAAAGCAGTTGCTCTAAAGAAAGAAAAATACACCATAAGATTACATAGGTCAGTAACAATATCAATATTGATCATTTAAATAAAACTACTGCCAAGTGTCATTGAAGTTCATCTTGGAATTTTTAATAATTTATGGAGTGAATGTGTGTCACCTTAGAAAGTACCTGTGACATTTTACAAATTCTTTCAGACACATGTATAAATACAGCAATAAAAATTCCTGAGCTCCCTTTTCTTATTCTGGTGTTCACCAAACCACATCCATGTAGTGTTTTATTTGACTGATGTCTTCTAGCTTTTTCTTAAAAAAAAAAAAAATTATCACCTTCATAAAAATAACTGTGCTTCAAGTCTGTTTGTCAGCCAAGTTTTAATGTGAACCTGATCATAATAGGAGATAATGCTTGACACTTGTGCCGGCAGCAGAAATCGAGGGGTGAGGGGGTGTGGGTGGGGGAGGTTGTAGGTAAAGGAACTCCATTGTGTAGGTGTCGAGATCTCCAAAGTAGAATATGCTTTTCCAATACTGAGAATGGGTTCAGTCTCACCTGCGTGGTTTGGAGGGACTCTCAGAGGTAAATGCAGCAGGAATCTGCTTCCCTGGCCAGTGAGCTCCTTTTTGGGGCCTTTTCAATAACCCTATTTTCTATACCCCTGCCCAGTCCCACCCTACCCCCAACCCGCAACATTTCAAGAGTGCTATTAAATGGAAGCTCTATCTCTCTGTCCCTAAAAAGTAGGGAAGATGTAGAATGTATACAACTTGGTTAATAAGTTGTAGGAAGTCTGGTGAGGTTAAGGTTTCGGATGTGATTCTGGTAAGAAGTGGCAAAATATAATTTATTTTCTTGCAGGAACGTGCATACCATAATTCTGGAAAATTGGCTATGCGTTTCTTCTCCAGCTCATCACTAATTATATGAATGTTGTGTCTGGTGCATGACACTCCAGATTTTTTAGTTTAGAAGTAAAAGTGTGCCCAAGAATTAAAGCCAGGTGATACATAAGCATGGGAGAGTCAGTGGTTCTTTGATGGAAGTGTAGAGTGTGATACACATTTTGGAGTGTGATAGTCACGTAAGGAATTCCTTATTGTTCCTGTGAGACATGGTGTGAAAGAATTAGGAGGCAGAGAAGAATCCGTAAAGCAAACCTCCACACTATTTCATAATTCTTAACACAAGCATGGACAGTAGGTGAAGGTTTCTAGATCTAGATCCATTAAAAAGAAAAGGTTATCATTTTATACTTAACCCAGTGATTTCGTCAGAAACGATTGTTACTAATGTGAACGAATCACACCATTCAAAAGGATTCCATTTTTAAAAATGGTTTGGTCTTTCCTTTATTTCACAATGCTTAAGTGAGCTTCTCTGGTTTCATCCCCATGTTGCTCATTCCATCTCACTTTTATTGTTAGCAGCTTCTCATGTGAACGTGATAGGGTGGAGGAAGGAAAGTATGTTTTGCAATCGTATGGAAGGACGAAGATAAAGGAGGCAAACTGTTTTGATCCACCTTATACCAACAATTTCCAGGTTATAGATCCCTTAGCAGCAAAAATGCTTCAAGAAAATTGTTTCAGACACACACGTTTTTCTGCTTATTTACCCGTCAAATAAAAATAAAAGAAGGGTAGGCAAGGGAAATAAACATTTATTGAGCCAGGCACTGAACTGGGTATTGTCAATAACATGAATAGAAATATAATGACCATATTATACTGGGATGTCTAAGATTTTGTTTGGCAAGCATTGTTTTTGGCGTGCAGTAAAAGTGAGGATGTTATGACAAGAGCAGTTAGCATAATCTCCCATACTACTGACAAGGATTTAATGGTCTCTGTTGTCCCCTCAAAGTGCAAGGAGGCAAATAATTAAATCCATGGAAAATGGAAAGTACAATGTGCAATAACCAAAGATTTACAGAATTAAAAATGCAAGATAAATCGGACAACTATAGTCCTCCAAAATTCCTTAAAGCTAAAAAAAAAAAAAAGTAGGCATTACAATAACTACATGTAAATATGTTTTTAAATCGAAATAAGACTATTTCTGACACATGGCTGACTTTTCCCATACCATCATATATTTGATGGCTAAAATCAAATAAGGAAAATATTTATTTCTAGGGGTGTTAGGGAAATCAACTTGTGAGAAATATCATTATTATGGCTTTGGGTAACCACCTTGAGTGACCATCATTTGAAAAAAATCTGCACTCTATGGCTTTGTTGGTCTTTCATCTGGTGATTTACTAAGTATTCTTTCTGGCCTTTATTCGTCAGCCAGTTTTTATAAAATGTAAAAATGGTTATTGAGAAAACCTGGCATAAAACTACAAAGTGGTGAATTAGAAGGTATGTTCTCATGTTAAAAAAAAAAGAAAAACACAAAACCAAACCAAAACCAACCCCCAGCAACTTACTGTAACAATCACTTCTAATTTCCCACTTCACGTTAAAGAATTTTGCTTGGTATTTTCTAAGGAAAGAGAAAAAGCAGAGGTAGTGAGATCTCTGAAAATATGGAACCTTTTGCTATTACATAGTCTTTGCTTCGATATGGCTTTACACAACACACAACAGGGGTTCTAGATTGCTTTGGTTTCCACATGAGACTCTCATGAAATTGTCTAGAATGAATGATCGAGCACAAAAGCAAGCCTCATGATGCAAATAACACTCAAGATGTTCTCAGAAGTCACATGAAGCAAAGCTGAAGGGTTGACTTTTAAACAGTGGTTGGATTGTACTCGAAACACTTAACACCCCAGATCAGCTGTACAATGACGTAAGTACTACTTCCAGGCAAAGGATAAGAAAAAAAATGCGTACATTCGCAGTCTTGACAGAAATATATGATTACGTTTTTTTCAGTTTCGTTTTATAGACATAGACACAATCATACTAAAATACACAAGGATAGATTATAAATCATTATGTAATTATTTTCATTTGTATTACATGATGAGTTTCACAGTACAAGGATTATATATTTCAATGCATCAAACAGTTTTGAACCACATAAAGCAATATAATATAAAATAATAGAACAGTTATCTTAAAGTCAGGAATGTCACATGGCCAGTAGATCAAATATGCCCCGGCAAAACAGTCAACGCATGAGACACGATAATCTTTCCTTTCTTTTTTTTTTTTTAAAGATTTTATTTATTTGACAGAGACACAGCGAGAGAGGGGAACACAAGCGGGGGGGTGGGAGAGGGAGAAGCAGGCTTCCCGCCGAGCAGGGAGCGGGATGCGGGGCTCGATCCCAGGACCCTGGGATCTTGACCTGAGCCGAAGGCAGACGCTTAACGACTGAGCCACCCAGGCGCCCCGATAATCTTTCCTTTCTAAACAATAAGCGGCTTTGGAGGAAGGGCAGTAGGACAAGGAGGGGAGGTGGTTACTTTTAAAAATTCAAAACATCTTATCAGAAATTTTATAAAACAGATTATTTTTCAGAGGTATCTTTGCCATACAGATTTTTCATGTCAGAGTAACGTAATAATGAGATTTTTTTTCTTCAGAATTTGTGAAATTTGCATGGAAAAACTCAGACTGCATTTTGAAGTTTATCCAGGTGAAGCATAATTTAAACGTAATTATTCAAGATTAGTTTTGATGTTACTACTTCACTAGCCAAAGGTTTTTAGGGTTCATTGTTTTTTATTTAATCAGGAGCAGGTAAAAAGTTAATTAATAGAATACCATTGTCTAAGGGTCTCTGTATTCATTGACCACAGTCACACAAACAGGATGTGTTTTTTCACTTTACACGCCTCAGTGCTTCTTGACTTGAGATCAGAGCATAAATCAAAGGAACGGACGTGAATAAGACAATGACGGGCGTATGGTGTTTGTCAGTTATGTACATCTCTTAGCCATAAACTCAGAACACTGAATAGATTACAGATTTCACTTTGTCCAATAAAATTTGGGTTTAGCAGGCTACCGTTGACATTTTGTGGAATCCTGAGATGCCCAAACCTCTGGAAATGTCCTATTTCCTATTTTTTTCCTTTCATTGAAATAGACCATGATGATCTCAGACCCTAAATCACCTTACTGAAATACACAAGCCTAGGGAGAGAACTATTTGATTTGTAGATTATATCTGGTAATCATGGAATAAGTCTAGGCCATAATTATAAATAGAACTTCTGGTTACAACATGGGTTCTCGAGCAATCATTTTGTATTTTAAAATTTCTACTTAAGACCTCCGGAACCGAGTCATGGATGTACCTTGGGTTTATTAATGGCCTTTGAATTAATTAAGCAGTTAATGAATTGAGCTGCAATTTCTAACTATGCAAATCCTTAAACGAGGTGACTAATGACCCTCAACGTGCAATGTGATATCTGTGTGGCTGATTTAAGAGCTGACTTAGTCCTTTGCGGGGCCAAAGTCATTGTTCACGAGTAACTTAATTTCTTGTGGATCCTATGGTTGCTAGTGTACATAATTAACTCTCAGGAAAAATACAGGCCCTAGAGCAGAAGAACAAAAAGCCTACAAGTATGGATAGCTAAGAAGAAAAAAAGAAGCCAGGATGTTAAAGCAAATCAACCTGGCTTGGACCAACAGATGTCTATAGTTCTCTTAAGCTTTGTGACACCGCACAATTATCAGGTTAAGGGCATGTCAGCAATACTTTCCTGCATTGCACCTGGGCCTTTGAAACCTTGGACTTTACTATTGTGCTTGAGCCAAAAATGCAGAACAAGAAATTTGTTCACTGAAGTACACACGAGGCTTTCATCAATGGCAAATCTATGTTAGCAACACTGAGGATGGTAATCCAGAGTCATTTGCCTTTTTCTGTATGTGTGCAAGCTTCCACCGTGCTTGCATTGTCCTTTTCAGGCCCAGGCATGCAATTTGAAGCCATTCAAAAGCATATTAATATGTTTTTAAACGGAGGAGTCTCAAATCACAGTGGGGCCAGCATATCCTCAAATCCCAGCCAGAGTCAATTTCTCATCAGACAAAATAAGTTACACTATTCACATCAGCTCTATGGTAATTCGGTTAAGCAATAAATAGAAAAATCCACTGGAACAGTTGCTGGTTGGACCTCGGACCATTTTGTCATTCCCTTTCCGGTTTCTCCATTCATTTACATAAAACAAGTAAAATGTACCTTCCAATTGATACGCTTTTCTTGCAAAAACAAAACTTTTTTTTTTTTTTTATAAAAGTAAAGAAAGGCACTTTGTAAACTATGTACAAATCTGCTTCTTCCTTGTCTACACTAAGGAGATAGAGAAGATACTAAAGGCAGGGCCAAGTCTTTCTGCAAGTGACTGCAGCCGTGGAGAATCTCGAGAAAAGAGCCAGATTTCCTCCACAGCCAAACTGCATCCTGGAGCTCATGAACTCATAGGATTCTCCGACTCAGCTGGGCACTACAGGACAAGGGGTCAAACTCCTTGATCTCGTACAGGTGGTAAGGGATTAACTCATGTTGGACCAAACCAGCGAAAGCAAGGTTTTGGTACATACCTGCCTAATGGGATTGGTCTTAGGCACTTGGGAGAATGGACATTCTGTTAAATGTCAGGGACGCAGTTGATAATAACTTGTGCTCATGTTGAGGTGCCTTAAACCCGTTCGTTACAACTGACCAGAGAACATTTTGCAGCTGGGGTAAGAATCTTCCATAAATCACCCATTGGCTAGCCCGTCTCCATGTGCTTTGTAACTTGAATATTTAGGTGTTTGTTTATAAAAACATGACTTTTTATAATTCAGAGCATATGGCTCTTTAAACCAACTGTGCAATAGTGGTTTATAATTCATCAGAAAGAAATAAAAACCAGAAGCCGCAGTCAGAAGAAAAGCGATTTGGGGCTGTTGGACTCAGCAAAAAATAAGCATGGCTTGATTCAGTAAAAGATCATTTTTTTCTAAAAATCAGAGCCTCATTCAGTAGGTCTTAAAAAAAAAAAAATCTCATGCCTCCTCTCTACATACATACTTGCATGTTATCTCGGACTCTGATCCCGTACCTACGTAATTTACAGCATGCATGTGTCATATGTGAAGACCAACTAGAACTGATGATTTAAAAGTGAAATCAAAAAAGCACATCACTGGAGAGTACTTGTGTGTCTCTGATGAAGGGCAATTATTTGTTAGCTTCCTTACGATCAAAGCACTGGGTAAATTATCTTTGCTGGAAAATATTTAGTGAGTCATGAAATCAAGGAGCCAGAGTTTGAAAGGATATTCGAGATGATTGGCCTGCCATTTCCTTCAGAGGAAACTGAGGCCCAGGAAAGGCAATTACTCTAAGGCAAGAGAGCGGGGACTAGAACCCAGGTCTCTTGACCCTCAGTCTGCATCCTTCTGCTGCACCAGCTGGCTCCTTGGTAGGAAATGTGCCAGAAGATGGAAAAAAAAAAAAACAAAAAACCTACTTAATTCAAATAAAGAGTGTTAATTGACCATAGAATTGTAACGTTGGCTTACTTAATGAGTGGCTAATTGGGGTATTTTGGGGATTTACTTCAAGGTGAGTCTTTAACCAGGACATTTTTTTTTTTTCACACATGCCAAGTCATATGTCAAAACAGGTTATTTTTGAATTTTTGAATTATCAGAGTGATTGAGATACATTTTGGAGGAGAATGGACTGTTTTGGGAAAAGTTTGGTCTGGCCTGGCTTGGAAGGGCAGAGTCAATCCCAAGTGGAGTATAATCCCCTGGCCCTCTTGGAGCTGCGTGTACTTTTGCCAAGTCATTGTCTATCATTCTGTCAATTTAAACCCTAAATGGGTTTTTAAAAAAGTATGCCTTCTCCTTACGTAGAGTGTCATTGAGGGCAAGTGAGACCTGACTTGTATTTCCGAGAGAGGATTGTCTCTAGGCACTAACGTACCTTTAGTGGAAATGGTCACCCAGGACAGGGCTTCTCAAACTTCCCTGTGTACATGAGTCATCTGAGGATCTTAGTACGATGCAGATTCGGATTCTGTAGGTCTGGGGCAGGGGAGCTGAGAGTCTGCATTTCCAAGCAGTGCCAGGCGATGCTGAGACAGCTGGTCCTCAGGGCCTACTTTGAGTAGCAAGGACCTAGGGCACTGGATGAGCTTGGACAACTTTCCCGAATGTTCCCTTCACCCTTAATGCTGGTCTATATTGGGAGAAGAGAGCTCAGATTGATTTACTTTGGCAACCCTGGAAGCCCTAGGGATGAGTTCACTTGCAAACATCAGGGCCACCGCGGAGCCCAGTTCCTGTCAGCATGGGCTTGCTGGGCTGGCATATTTAACTCCCAGGGGTGAGTGCAAATTCACTACGTCCAGTTAGTGAGTGAACCCGGAGAATGGCTTTGCCATCAGATGAAATGAAAAACAGAGGGAGGCAGTTGGAGTCACGAGCGCTCTCTTTAAAATGGAGAGCCAGGCTTGTGGGAAGGCTGCCCTTGGAACAGACTTGGAGACTCTTGCTACCAGACCCCGGCCGCTGTAGCTGTTGCCACTGCCCAGATGCCTGCTTCCTTAGAACTTCTATTTGAACGCTTCCGCTGGGACTGCTGTATCTGCCTCTGCCAGGATTTCGCAAATGGATCTACTTCAGAGAGATACTAACTCCTGGCTTTGCTTACATTTTCTTGGCAGCCCAGGACTTCTCAGAACACCCAAACCAAACAAAACCCTCTCTCTAAAACAGTATGTGAGAGGTCATCACTCACCTTTTCAGGGTGGTTTTATGAATATTCACCCAGAGAAGAGCAGAAGCCCCAGAGTAGCCCTAAATTACAGAAGTAATTTCTGGTCTGTGGAAAGCCCTAAACCTCTTGGCTGGCGACTGTTGAAAGTATCACAGAGATAGAATCAGATAAACTATACAACGCTGTGCTGGAAATTGAATATAATCATCCACTTCATATTCCTCAATGGGCTTTGGGTTGCTATGGCATTTTACTCCACACACAGGGACTGTGTATACTCTGTACTGCAAATACTCATTATAACCTCATAGCAGAACATACCGTACCCGCTAAATACGTAAACAGCTGTACTGGGAAGATAGAAAATAGTTTTTTATTTTACCTAAGTGATAGAAAAATAGTCTTCAAAAATACATTGTGAAACTTACGGGTTTATATTAAAGTAGAATTTGTATGTACAGTAAGGCAGTATTTCCATTAGCATCCTGCTGTGATTATCTTTTAAAATTAGTCTTTGGGGATTTTTTTTTTAACCTAACCGAAGACTAGGGTGTATAATAAATTCTCTCTTATGCTCAAACGAAACAGGAAAACATTTTAGAAGAATTTACCACATGAAACTCATTTACCTGTCATGTTAGAAAATTTCACTTTCCAAAACTATTTTCTCTAGAGGCTTCAGAATAAAATACAATTTAGGGGGAGAAAAAAAAAATCCATGCTTAACAAATTCAAACCATTTTAAGAAAAAACTGGAGGCATCATTTTGGCTTGCATATTGGCAATGTATCACTAAGGTGATAGGAACTGATGTAAACAATGTGTCCGGTGTTCTGGAATGCATTCTTTCTTCAAATGGGTCGTATTTGGTTAATCCGAATAAAAATGAAAGAGGAGTGCAAAGGTTTGTTGGTTTTTTGAAAGCGGTTTTCATGGCATTTTTCTCACATCTATCATCTTCCTGTGGTAAACAACTGTGAGTATTTCATTTCCTTCGGTCACATACCAAACCATGAAAGCCCCTTCCAGAGGATATACCTATTGGCAATGTCCCTCAAAAATACTAAACGATGTATTTTTATTTCATTGAACACATAATTTTATAACTAAGAGCAAAAAAAAGTCAATCTACAAATCACAGGAAACAAAACAATTTGTTCTGGAATCAACTGTTGGAGAAAGAGGCAGCTGGTTGAAAATGGAGCATGAGGAGTGAACTATGGGCTGTGTAGTGTCATCCTAACCACATTCTCGAGCATTCTCTAGTAGGGTACGTTTCCTGTACTCTGTAGTGTTACCTGAAAAGAGATCACATTTTAACCAATCATTCCGTTAATCAAGCTATCACTGAAAGGAGTGCATAAAACACGTGGGATCCAGGTAATCCAACCCACCCAGCTGGAGTCCGCAGCTGCTTGGGGCCGAGGTGAAGGAGGCCAGGTCTTCTTCGGCTGGATTCTCTTGAAGAGATGGCGGAGCCTCCTTGGCTGGTTCTTCCAACGCAGTCAGGTTCTGAGCTCGCGGATCCTGCACTAACACCAGGATGTTGTTATCCATCACCCTGGACACCTTAGCGTACTCCTTACTGGCTTCAGGAGGACTGGGCTTCTCTGGCTGGTTGCTGTTCTCTTTGTGTTTTGGGAGCAATGACAGTGCTCCATCTTTGTTAACCTTGTGAATCTCCACGTAATCCAAGGGTTTCACAGAGATCAAAGGGGTTTTCTCCAGGGGTAACAGCCATGCTGTGCCTTGGTCAGTCTTGGAATGGAAGCTTTCTACTTCTCTCTGCTCAGCTGCCTTTTCCTCCCCTCCAGTCTCAGTGGTTTTTGCAGATCTTAAAGCGTGTGTGTCTGTTTTGCCCAACAAAGCGGCCGATGCCCCCGCTGTGCCCACAGCCAGCTTACACACATCAGCAATGTTGTGGTAAGAAGATCTGGGGCTGTGCTGGCTGGGGGGCTGTGGTAAAGGCCAGGTTGAGGATTTGGATCCGTCGGCAGGGAAATAGGGGATCTTGCCTTCCAAGCGTGTGCTCTGGGCATCCCACGTGCAGGTAACCTTTGTTTGGGGATTCTCTGGCTTCTCAATGCCCTCAGGAATGTTACACGTGGAGGGATTTGCCCGGGCTTCCTCACACTTTTTAGACAAAAGGGAAGGGCTGTCGCAGCTGCCCCGGCCAGAGTCGCTGTCTGGATCCAGGGGTGTGGGCTTCATATCTTGATCCGGGTGTTTTGAATGGGCTGGCATCAGCTGCTGGTCCTCGCTGTCATCCACTTCTAAAAACTCCACCAGCAAGTCCTCACAGTCAGAAGTGGGAGGGAAGTCTTGGCACCCCAGGGCACTCAGCAGTTCCTCAGACTTGCCCTTCTAGGAAAAGGAGAGACGGCTGTTAGCTTCCTAACATTCGACGTCGGCCAAGCCCGTGGTCCCGACTAGGGGCAAGTGGGATGTGCTAATGGCCTCGCGAAACTTCCCAAACGTCAGACATTTATGTACCAAGCTATCTATAGTCACCTCCTGGACTACTCCTCATCTCATATTTTTCTTTCAGTTAATTCATGATTTTAACTTAGTCTCTTTCTAAGCAATAATGATTATGAGTTTAATGGGCAAGTAGTATATGCACATATAATAAACATGCACCTATCAAATATGACGTTTGTGAAACATCAAAAACCACAGTGCTCATGCCTGCATTTGGTGCCTTGGGACCCGCTGGCCCTGAGATCTGGTTGCTGGCCTCCTAACCAACTCCACCATCTTCTGGAGTCTGGCAGTGGTCAGCAGATTCTCGTCTCTCCCTTCTCTCTCAACTCCTCCTCTTCCTACTTCTTCCTTTCCCCTCCCTTCTCGTCCTACCCTATTCTTTCCTTTCCTGCTGCTCCATTTCCTGTCCCTCTCCCCTCCCCCTCTCTCCCTGCTGTCCCAGTTTCCTCCCTCTCCTCCTCTCTGTTCTCCTTCTTCTCCCCTCCTCCTTCCTCCTGCCTTCTCTTGTTTTTCACTCTTCTTCCTGATTGCTTGACTTAGGTCAGGTACTGGTACCCAAATCTTGACCCTATCACTTATTAAAGGGTACTGACTTTGGACAAGTTGCTCTATGGTCCTCACTTTCTCCATCTGTAAAATGGGAAAAATAGTAGCCATCTGGGAGGGTTCTTCTGAAGATGAGAGGTAATTGTGATTAAGAATATGAAAACTTTTTTGTGTGTGTGACACCAACAGTAGTTATTTTATTATTAAGTCCCTGTGGCTACAAGGTCAAATTTCGAGCTAGACAGTGGTTAATTTACTTAGTTGAGATGTTCATGTTGGTTCTGTGCAGGTCAGTACTAGGACTGGGTAGCGAGGTAAGAGCACTGGACCAGGAGCCCAAGTTCTGGGGCTCTAAGCCCTGATCCGGTATTTGCAAACTGAATGCAGTCAAGCCAAATTCTCTGGGACTCACTTTTCACATTCTTGTTGTGTTGTTAGCCTCACAGTGGCTGGGTCAAGTGATGTAATGTGCAGGTCATTGCTTTTAGATACATCAGTGTTAAGCTGAAGTCAAATTGAAACTATATATTTCAATCTGGACAGAAATGTAAAATGTTCTAACCCCTCTTTTTATGCAAAACACTTGAATTTAAATCCCTCTTGAATCAGCCTAAGTGGGCCCTGGCAAACACTAGCCCCCTTGTACTGATCCAGTCTCTACTGAGTGCTCAAAGTGAGCAACAATTACAAGAGGATATTGCAATTATGCAAAGAACATTCAAGTGAAAACTTTAACCGAAGTATGACAAAGGAGGTGGTGGTGGGTCCCTGTTTTGTATTAATTAAAATATTCACCCTCTTTCTAAATTGGTTATTTGCACAAAATGTTTATTTCTATGCTTATGAACAGACCTGGTAAAGCTAGCCAAGTATTACTATGTGTTTGCATGTTTTCTTGACTTTCTCTCCTTGCCCTCTGACGTCTAGTGTCTGAAGGTAAGGACCCTCACGCCTCCAACCGTCTTTCTGGAAACATGCATGCTGAGGAGCAGGGCTGAGCTGGGCGGGGGCTGAGCCGGCCAGGTGGAATTGACGGGAATTGTGTGCGCCCGTGTAAAGGTCATTATTCCAAAGCAGTGAGTCACACTACATTCCCCACCTCTTCCACTTACCTCCAGCAGATGAGCATCAAATCCTTTTATTTTTGGCCCAGGAACTGGTGGAAGGATGCAGGTCACCATGCTTTAAAATAATTTGTGAAAAAGAATTAGATGACTCACCTTCTCACTTTGTAATTTTTGAAAGATTAGTATTCTCTCTAACTACCTGCTACACGGACTACAGTGGACAGGAGTTAGATTTCTGGGGCTCTATGAGACTAACGATCAATGGTGAAGACAATAATTTTAGGGGCCTACATAGTATTTAACTCTGGCTCATTGAGGAGGCCGATGCTGAAATGAGTGGATTATTTGGACTACTTGCTTCTCTTGACTGGAGCTGCTTTTAATGGGGGTTTTACTAATGCACCACCGGGAACCTCAGTTTGATGGAAAGAGCACCAGCTTCAAAGGAGTCCATCCTGCTCCTTTTGCTAGCACCGATAAAAGATTTTCTATGGGCGAGCACACTGTAGCTAATGGCTCAAAGGAAGTGCTTGGCTTATGTGTAGGTTTTCAACATCTTTGCATTATCCTTTTTGGCTGCGATCCCTGACAACCATGATTGGGAGGAGGGTTGATAGACAGTGAAGTACCTATGGACTTTCAAAGCCACAGCTGCGACCATAATCAGACAAATAACAGCAGAAAGAACGGCCACAAAGATCCACACGATGGTATCTTTCATGGTGACATCTACAAAGCAAACAGTCGGAAAGCTTTGATCACATGAAAGCATCGTTAAAAACAAAAACAAAAAAACCCCAAATAAGCAAAAGTCATGAACAAAAGAGTTTCCCCCCCCTTCCCTACCCCTCTTTTGATTTGAACAGCAATCCAAAGAGTGCTCAGGTCACTGAGTGCCTCAGTGACAGGTTTAATTTTTATTATTAAAGTTTAATACGTTGCATATATTTTACAGTACTCTATAAATTTCAAAATCCTTTTACATATTATTTTATTTGGCCCTTTAGGAGGAAATTCAAAGTCACATGGCCCACTGCAGTAATAATAATAAAGGCCATCACGTATTAAGGTTTTGTTAACTAACCTCTTTACAAACACTGCCTGGTATATAAAGATGAGGACACGGAGGCTCAAAGAGCGATTTCCCCACAAACATGTCAACTATAAAGCTGCAGTTGGGATTTGAACCTGGATCTTCTGCCTCTGGACCTTGTGCTTTGATTTATTTAATAAGAGCCAGGGCTGAACTGGATGCACATGCAAATCTTATGACCCACATTTCAGGGCTGTTTCAAAGCCAAGCCAAAGCAAGTTTTGTACTTTGGCCGGGCAAGCTGGCAGAGGAGCTAGGCTTTGCCATGGGGTTCTGGGTAAGACCTCAAACTTCACTGAGCTTCATTTTCCTCACTTTTGATTCCTAATGCTAATCCTATTCTCTCTGAAGACCTGAGAGGGTTGGAAGGGCCAAACAAGGTGAAGACTTTATAAACCATAACATACTTTAGAAAAGCAAGATAAATCATTCTCTTGTGGAGCACAGGCTGCCATGTTTAATGGCACTTAGAACCGAGCGCCTCTTATACACTGTACCTTCATACAAGGGTCAAGATGTAATCGACCTCATGGACTGAAAATTGGTTCATGCCTTTGAGATGGCATACCACCTTACAAATTTTGGGACAACTAGATGATGACCTTGAGTGAATTAGAGGGATAGGGCAGATGGGGAGGGCAGAATGGCTGACCATTAAGCCCTCTGATACCTGCCAAGTCCGCATTTGTAGCCTTATCCTGGAAACTGGTCCTCACTGACAGTGACCTAGGGAGCAGTGCTACACTTCCAGGTGTCTTTGTATTGGATGGAGAGATGATAAATCCACCTCTATTTATTCTTCTGGCCAAGGCCTAAAATAGTTTCTCTCTTAGTAGTTACTACATGCAAACTTACTAGATTCATTTTGTTTTAGAAATATTTTGGAGTATAGGCAAAGGGGAGGCAAGACACTCACCATTAGGTATCTGGATGGAGCTCTCTGGGCTCCACTCACTCCAGAATCCATGGTCTGGCTTGCAGCGAACCTGGACAAGGTATTTCTGTCCTGGATATAAGCTGAGAATCTTAAACTGAGTCTGCTGCCCAGCAAAATGAGTCTAGGGACAAACAAGGAAGATAGAAGTCACTCTGACTTGTGTTACATTTCTTCATAGACGTTTCCTCTAGATAATAAACTATTGGAGAACCGAGGCCAGCAGATTCAATTTTGTAGATAAATCTCTGTTCTTCTCATCATTTCACCCTCCTAGCTCATTTTTTCCTCCTCGCATTGCTCACACAAAAATTAACGGGTTTTCTAAATCTCCATGGGGAACACTATCGACATAGAGTCAAATATTCTGCTCCCTATCCTCTACCCCCTTCTAAATTCTAGTCTGTGGAGGACAGCCGGTGAATACAATTGAAAAATGGTTATTGGTTATTTTGTCAACCCTAATAATTTTATTGATTCAAGGATTACCAATTAGTATAAAGCCCCTAGGTGAAAGAGAACCAGGCCTTCAAGTTTGTTGAAACAATAGCATACAAGAGAAACATAACTTTACAATTGAGGGATCAGGTTGTCACCTCTCTGATTCCAGAGTTGGCCTTAGAGTCATTTCTGGTGGGTTAACCAGATGATTTCCATCTCCTGGCATGAAGGATCTAATATCACCTCTGAAGTACTCTTGCTAAAAATTGTTCAACCTGAATCTGATCAAGTTTTTAGATCTAATTGTCTGGTTACGGGAAATACAGGGGCAGAGAAATTAGCCAAATGACCTCACAGAGAACTCATCAGACAAATGCAGAAGATGGGACATCATCTGAGCACGTTGAGATGGAAACAATAGAACAACCAGCCACAACGTGTGGTCTTGGAGTGGATTCTGGTTTGGACAAACTAGCTGTTAAAGATATTTTTTGAAGCAATTGGGGGAGTCTACGGCCATACCACCCTGAATGCGCCGGATCTCATCTGATCTCGGAAGCTAAGCAGGGTCGGGCCTGGTTAGTACTTGGATGGGAAGCAATTGGGGGAATTAAAATATGGACTGGCTATTAAATGTTATTAAGAAATTTTAATTAATTTTCTAAGTGTCATCCTATTATTTTGGCTATGTTTGGAAATGTTCCCGTTTTAAAAAATTTGCATTATCATCGCTAATGGGTTTGAGAGTATCTTTTTTAAAATTGAAGCATAATTAACATACAAGTGTTACATTAGTTTCAAGTGTACAATATAATGATTCAACAATTGTATACATAACTCAGTGCTCATCCCAGTAAGTGTACTCTTCATCCCCTTCACCTATTTCGTCCATCCTCCAGCCTACCTGCCCTCTGGCAACCACCAGTTTGTTCTCTGTATTTAAGAGTCTGTTTTTTTGTTTGTCTCTTTGTTCTTTGTTTGTTCATTTGTTTTGTTCCTTAAATTCCACATATGGGTGAAACCAAATGTTCTCTTTTTTTCTTTTTAAATTTTAAGCAGGCTCCATGCCCAGTGTGGGGCTAGAACTCACAACCCTGAGATTAAGAGTCACACACTTCACTGCCTGAGCCACCCAGGCACCCCTCAAATGTTCTCTTTTTAAAAGAGACATATACAGGGTAAGGGAAGGAAAACCGACTGGGAAGAAATCAGAGAGGGAGACAAACCATGAGAGATTCTGGACTCCAGGAAACAAACCAGGAGGGGGGTGGGGGATAAGGTAGCTGCGTGATGGGTATTAAGGATGGCATGTGTTGTGATGAGTACTGGGTGTTATACACAACTATTGAATCATTGAACACTACATCAAAAACTAATGATGTACTATATATTGGCTAATTGAACATAATAATAAAAAAATAAATAAAAATAAAAGAAACATATACTAAAATATTTAAGAGTAGACTATTATAATGCCTGTAATTTACTGCATTATTTCTTCCTTACATTGAAGTATTTGCAAGTGAATAAAAATACCATTGATCATGGACTGGTTACACTGAGACTTTTTCCTCCTACTTAGTGCCACGTAAGTACACTCACAAGTGTCTCAATCTCAGATATCCTGAGGGAGGTGGGTTGGATACCTGGTGGAAGACCTGTTCAGTGCAAGGAGCTAGCTTTGGGTGAGTATGAAGACGACCCCCATCAATCCCAGTGGAGGGGAGGAGGCCCTTCCACGTTGGGGTGGGTCACATCAGCATCAAGAGGGCAACAGGGTTACCCCAAAATGAGGAGGAATGACTTATTCTCAGCTGCGAGGGCTTCATCTTTGCCAAGGACCTGTTTCTTTCCAAAAGCTTCTAGTTGACTCACCTCCCACTCAGTTGCTTTCTCAGGTTTTAACCGAATTTCATACTGGAGTGTGAGCCAACCAGATCTAACGTCAACCAGGGTGGGTGGGTACCATTTCATCCACAGATATGGTTTTTTGTCTTCTGGCTGTTTTAATTCCAAAGTTAGGTTCACAGGAGGGTCTGGTTCAACTGTAGACAGGAAAGAAACTCCACATTTAGTAAAAGTGGTATCTGCACACAGAACCGTATGACTTAGAGGCGGCTCTCTCTACTGTTTCACTCCACTGTGGTTATGAGACTCTCGGCATTTGATATCAGGTGCTGGTCAGCAGAACTGGGGTTAGGTTGAAGCAAGCAAGATGCAAAATTTAAGAAGGCACAAATGGCCAAGAAGCATAGGAAAGAGGCTCAAAAGTCATTGAGACATGCAAGTCAAAACCACAACGAGATACCATTTCATACCCGCTAGCATGGCTAGAATTCAAAGAGTGAAAAATAATAAGTGTTGGTGAGGACACTGGAGAAATTGGAACCCTCGTCCATTGTTGATGGGGATGTAAAGTGGTACAGCCACTGTAGAAAAAAGTCTAGAAGTTACCTAGAAAGTTAAATGTGGTATTACCATGTCACCCATCAACTTCACTCCTATGTATATACCCAAAAGAATTGAAGGCAGGTGTTCAAACAAAAACTTGTACCTGAGTGTTCATAATACCCATTAAATGTCCATAATATCCTATCCAGAAGAGCCAATAGGTGGAAACAACCCAAATGTCCATCAACTGATGAATGGATAAATAATGTCTATATCATGGAACATGATTCAGCCACAGAGGGAAGGAAATACTGATACACGCTAGAACATAGAGGAATCTTGAGAACATTATGCTAAGTGACAGAAGGCAGACACAAAAGGCCACATACTATATGATTCCAGAATAGCCAAATCTATCGAGACAGAAAGCAGACTAGTGGTTGTTCTGGGGCTGGGATAAAGCGGGGAATCCAGAGTAACTGGTTAATGGGTATGAAGTTTCCATCTGGAGTGGTGAAAGTGTTCTGGAACTAGATAGTGATGGTTGCATAACTGTGTGAATGAACTAATACCACCGGATTTCACATTTTAAAATGGGTAAAATGGTGAATTTTATGTTATGTGTATTATGCCACACACACAAAAATAAGGAGGCGCTTACTCTCAGGTTCCTTTAAGTACAGGTCTGTGAGTAGCCCTGAAGAGTGCCTTGGGTACCAGCTTGTCTTACCCTAATCTCAGTCCTGCTGGTCAGTAATATCTTCTTGATTCATTTATTACCTCCTCAAGTCAGTCTCCATGCCAGGGGGGGATGTGAGTGTAATTGTAGTATATTTGGCATTATAACCTACAGTTGTCTAAAAAAGTGAACTTTAGAACATTCGCCACTAATCCTAATGCTTATATGTTAATAAGTAAATGCCTAAGAAAGATCATTTTATATGTACTTACTAAACAAACATCATCTGTATACTGAGAAATGCCTCTGATCAAAAACCACTGGTACAAAACTGCCAGCAAAATGTTTAGGATGAATCCTTGAAAGCACAGTTTCTCAACCTCAGCATTATGTATCTTGGACCAGACTCTTCTTCATTGGTGGGTTAGGGTGGGTGGGTGGGGTGCCGTCCTGAGCACTGGAGGCTGCTTAGCAGCATTTGTGGCCTCTACCCATTAAATGTCCATAATATCCTGAGAGCTCTTCCCTCGGTTGCGATAATCAGAGATGTTTCCCGTCATTGCTAAATATCCTGGGGGAGGCAACATAGCCCCGAGTTGAGAATCACTGCTTTCAAGCATCTTCAACATTGCTAAATGTAATTCAAGGACAGTAGGAACAAGAACAAGAACAAAATCTATTTCTGAGAGATTATCTGTCAATATTGTCATTCTGAACTGCGGGTTATCACTGGATGAGACTCAGGCTGATAGAAAATGTACTGTGGTTAATACTGATTAAAAAAAAAAAAATTTTTTTTTTTTTTGAAGAGAGTCCCAAGCAGGCTCCACACCCAGCTCAGAGCCCGACATGGGGCTCCATCTCACAACCCTGAGATCATGACCTGAGCTGAAATCAAGAGTTGGGCATAAACTGACTGATCCACCCAGGCACCCAACACTGATTTTTAGAGGAATTCTATGGCATCAACATAGAATTCCTGTCATCAACACTGTATGATGTAGGGTGATATGAGAGTTCCATAAACCCTTCTTCCATTATTTTGGAAAATACAGCCCAACAATTTTTCACCAGAGAATTTGTTTTCCACAGCTCATGTGAAATTGATGCCCTCATCGATTTCACTTTTTAAATGCACTACTCTCTAGTGATTCCGTTTTTTGTGACTACATTCATTGTAGCAATGGCTCATTTCAGAACTTCTTTTGCTTTTGCTGTTTTGCCCTCATATGTTAAATCTGTAAGAGAGAGCCCACGACAAAGGAATTATTTGGCATTTAGCATCTTCAAGACTTTGTATCTCCAGTAATTTATATGACTAGAATTTATTTTATTCCTACTTGCCACTGGGATTGCCTTTCTGAGTTTCTTAAACTAAGATCACATTCAGTTTCCACCCCCAGGCTCATTCCAATGATTTGCTGCAAGAGAAATTATTTAAGTGTGTACTGGTTGGTGTTGGAAGCTTTTCTAGTTTTTAAGGATAAACCACTGATAACATGCCATTGGGATGATATGCAAGTGAACACTTCAGAATCCTAATCTGATTTTCCTTGCTGAGTGGTGTTAGGTAAATCCAGAAGACTTGGGTAAACATGAACCTAATTAGCTATTCCCTAGATTATTACCCAAGATGAAGGCTGAACCCCGGCCTGGCCAAGCCATCTCTTGTCCTAAGATTCCCTTTGTCACCCCTGCCACACCGTCCAGGCCACTACAGTGATGCCTAATTGCCCTGCAGCTCACTGTTGATCATGCAAAGCCAGAAGCAGCGTTTGGGTTGACTTTGTTTTACTTTGCTAATGACTTCTCCAAACGTTGTACTTGTGATCTTGGCCTTCAGCCTGTTGTTCAAGTAGTAGTATTTACTCCTCAAATTATTTATTTTTAAAATAATAGCTCCAGTTGCTAAGAAGCACAGGTATATTGAGAATTGAATTTGGGGGAAATCGGTTTGGCGCAATCTCTGTGGGTGCAGAAGCAGACGAACACCTTCTAGGAGCTGCTACTCCATGGAGCAGCTCTGTGTTCCATCGGGAGAGAGAAAGTAAGGGAGAAGGGGACATCGGTTGCAGGAGGAGGGCTGGAGGGAAGGAGTGATAAGGGACGCATAAGCAGAACATTCCTTCTGGATGCAAGAGGATGAGAAGAAGGGTTAAGGGAAAGCACAGAAGCATAAGGATCCCACGTGCCAGTCCTATTGCCATGAATGACTTGATAAAAATTGGTTTGAGAAACTCAGTTGAGAAGGATATTGTAAAATTTCTGATCTTTCTTTTTGGGGATGCAACCAAAAGCCAAGAAGACTCAAATTGAGTTTGACTATTGGTAAATCAGTAACTGAATAACACATTCCTTACCTGTCACCCTTCCCCTTACCTATGTAAGTCACGTCCACATAACGTGGATCTGAGGAACTGCTTCCCATCTGGTTTGTGGCATTTATTGTGATGATGTACATTGTCCATATGGAGGTGTGCTTCTTGTTGAAGTAACAGGAATTGGGGCCACTGGTTATGTAGTCTGGACATTCGTGTGTGATTGTCTCTCTGCAATGAGTAATATATTAGCAGTGAATAAGAAAGTAGTAAACAGAGTTTAATCTCCTGAGTAGATTAGTAACACTGGCTTTTGGGGATCAGACATTTGGGATGCAAGAACCAGAGTGAGGAACAACTCCCCAAACTTCTGTGTCCTGCCCATGTCAGCCGGGGGTGAGACAAGAAAGAGGGTGCCGGAGATGGTGGAAGGGTTACGTGAGGTCCTCAGTGACTCTGCTGCTCATCAACACCTCCCTTCGATAGGTTTTTGTGGGCTTTGGGATATATGCCCCCTGCCAACAAATGCTTGAGCTCTCGATGGCCAAGGCGCCGCCCTACCCAGGGAACTGCTGCTGGTCATCTCAGGAAATGTGACTCTCCCTGGTACATACATCCCGGGGGCCATGCACGACGTACCCTTTATTGCGCATATGTGTTGAATCACGTTTCATTAAAAAAAGATGAAAGAGGGTAAGCATTGCCATCAGTATATTCCAGATTGCCCTAAGTCAGCAACAGAGTAACATGACTAAGAAAGGAGCTATTTCAGGACCAGGTGGCCTCATTAGGCTGCTCACATGTAGACGTCAGGGCCTCAACGCAAGACACAGCACAAGGTGTGAAGGCTTATTTCATTTTGGTTGTCAGTTTGAGTTCCTGAACTCTATTTACATGATATTCCTCCAGGTCCCAGAAGGGATGACAGCGTTGTGTACAACAAAGTGCCGTCTTTGGGAAGTGGGTCAGCTGTTGCAACCGGTAAATGCTTTTTTCACTGAGGAAGGATACAGCCCTCCTGGGCTTTCCAGGATGGTTTCATTGTGAGCAAAACAAGATCCTCACCCAGAGATGACCTTGTTTAGCCCTCACTGCAACCTTAGCTCCAAATATGCCCTCTGGAAGATCAGAGATCCTGGATCAGCAAATGCTAAGGAAAAAATCCTTACCTCTCCTGGCTTATAGGGCTCTTTCTTGGTCAAAAGGATTACATGATAATCCTCTGAGATTGCAAAAGTAACAAATGGCACAAGGTTTACATCTAAAAGTAACTAGCATTTAGGAAAGATCCATATGTGACCTTGGGATACAACCTAACCTTGGGACAGACACTGGGAATAATGCTGTACTATATTGCTGGGGTAGCGGATGACCTTATATACATGGAGAGAGCTCGTCAAGGACATTAACAGGAGAGTGTAGGCATGGGCAGTGAAGTTCTTTTCCCCGGTGGTAGGATCCTTACTCATGCCAATCCAGGGGAGTGTGGTAACTCTAACTTTAGGCCGGGAGATTGAGAGCAGTCACGTGGCAGTTGATAGGAGAGAAGAGAACTTTTTACCCTTCCTTGTGGTACATCAGCGTGTAATTAGTAGGAAGTCCTCCGTCTTCCCCAGGTTTCCACCAGCAGGTGAATGTTTCCTTTTCAGGAGAACGACATTTAAAGATCTCAGGTTTTCCAGGAGGTGATTGTCCTAGAAAAAGCCAGAAGTCACTTAGGAACAAGGTGCATTCAACCATTGGACCCTCCTGCTGGTGACAGAAGCAGACTGATGGGACAAGGTCAGTGATGAGGTGTGAGGGGGCCTAAGGGTGGGGTGCTCAGAAATGCCAGCAACATTCCTCTGTGGGCTGTCCCGATGTTGGCAGGACTGAGAGAGAGAGAGCTGTGTGTGTGTGTGTCCTGTGAGGTAGAGATGGCCACTAACTAGGATGGGTCACTAACTGTAAAATTCCAACAGAGTGAACATGAAGGGTGAGCTGGATGCATGTGGACTGAAGAGTATGTGGCCCTTCCGCAATCCCAGAGTCTATGCAGCTGACATCCTCCCATAGCAGAAGGGTGACCATGAAAAGAATTCTGCCCCAGGCACAAGCATCCTGGGACACTTTGCTGACACAGTGCTCTCTGGCACTTCTCCATCTGCTCATGACTCTCCATTTTTCTGCCATTCCCACACAATTAACTCCATCTGGGACCTTCTGTTTTTTTTTTCTCTGCATCACTGACGCTCCTTTGGCTGCTCCCCTCCCCTCCCCTATCTTCTCCTTTCCTTCCTGTTTCCCTTCACTTTTCCTTGATTCCATTTGGCTTGGACCTCTGACCCAGCCTCACCGTCTATCTCCTCATTCTCCTGCCCCCATTTCCGATTCTTGTTTTTTAGTCCTTTTTGTCTTATATTTCCCTCTTTCTCCTTGGGTTCTTTTGTGGTGAGTTGGCAAAGGGCTTCCTTGTAGTTCTCTGGCTCTTTTTGGTGGGGGGAGGCATGGTAAGAGGTGGGGGAGTGGCTAGCTGTTCTGGTTACCAGCTACCATTATTATCCAAGAGCCATATCTCAACCCAGCTGGAAGCTAGAAGGTCTGAATAAGGTGATGGGGAAAGTACGATGTCAAAAGGATGGGGTTTTTCAGTTGCTGAATCCCCAAAGCTCTTGATGACCTGGCCCCCTCTCCTCTTCCTTGTCTGTCAGATCCAAAGAGGAAAAGGGTGGCCCTGGGCATTTGCCTTGTGCTGCTAGGCAGGACCCCCATTTTGCCCATCCACATAACTAACCCCAGGTGATCTTCCTTTTGGCCGAGTTGGATGACTGACTGTTTAGTTCAGAAAATCAGCAGCAGAGAGGAGAGCTTTTGAAAGGTGTCAGTCTCAGCAATTCAGGGGTGTTCTCTCTGTTTTCTCTTATACTTGTCTCCCCCCACCCCTTCCCACTGGTTCCTGGCCAGAACTTCTCTCTGAGCACCAGATCAGAAAGAGTAAGTTTGGAGGAGAACATGCATGGGAAGAGGGGACACCAGGCAAAACTGGCCAGAAAGTCATGGAATGATATGATGCAGTGCACAGGCTGGGGCTGAGGACAGCAGGCTGATCGTGTCAGTGTGGGCTAAGCTACCCTCTAGCTCCCAGCCACCCTGAAAACCATCAAAGAATTATAGGAAACCTTAAAACTCCATGCCAGCCAGCCTGGGGTTAGGTCTGCCAAAATTTGTAACATTGTTTATGCTCCAGGGAAAATTTCTTTAGGATAATGTCACAGGTTGAAGTGATTTGTTTGTTGTGTTTTGTTGTGGCTGGGGACGAGCATGTGGGACAGAAAGAAAATTTAAAAAAAAAGACCAAACCCAAACCCTATGGCTCAATAATGAGCATCCTCAGAAGCCAATTAAGGCAACTGTTGATTCTTTGAGTACTTAAAAGTTTCTCTATGGATTATGCTGATCTCTGCTCTCTTTTTTCTCTCTCTGGAAGCTTATCTTTTTCACATTTCACTGGTTATTCATGGTACCTCTAGGAAATTCAGGAGAGGAGAGCACAGTTGTGAAATTACAACTAGTCAAATGTTCCTTTCACTCACTTTAGCAGAGACAGTGAAAATCAATGGACTGTCTCACTATCTTTATAAAATGCACACAGAGGGACAACCACCTAGGTACCGTACACACTTATGTCCACATTAGAGCCCACCTCACAAACACACACATGCACAGCCCCCTCGCCCCGACATCTTTGCAGCTGCATACTCCGAAGTACACTTGGGAACATACATGGAAATATACACATACATGGAGGCACACACACTGGTATACACAGAGAAGCATTTGCAATCAGATACACATAGAGAAGTTAATACACAGAAGTATATTCAAAAGTATCCACACTCAAAGATGCACAGAGCTGGGCGCACAGAAATGTACATACGCCAGCATGCACACTCTAGCTGTGAACTTCATTTCTCCCATTAGCCCAGATAATAGAGTTAGCTACATGTTTCCCACCATATAACAGCAATCCCTTTTATCTCTTTACTGTTTTTCAAAGATTTTCCACGTACACTATTCATCGCAGGTGGAGGGAACATCATAGTCCTCACTTTGAAAATGTGGAAACCCAGAGAGATTAGGTGATTGGCTCAAGGTCACATAGCTAGTAGCAGCTGACAGTAGCTGGACTGAGACTCTGGTCTTGTCGTTCATACGAGATGCTTCGCTATAGTCCCGGGGTGAGGATAGAAGGCAGAGCACAGGGACACGCTTTTGCATTCACTCTTTTGCATTAATTTCTGCATTGATTTTAATGCCAAAAATGTTGCAGATAATTTAGTAGCAGCCAATGACATTTTCATCTCTTGTAACTGCAGGATGAGATGGACTCTCCACCCTCTTGAGAAACACCCCAGGGAATTAAAGAGAGCAGGACAGTCCCTTACTTACCATTCAGGAGACTGGTGTTGAGAAAAAGTAGCAAAATGAAAACAGCTGTGGATGCCACACTTTCCTTCATTTTGGCTCCTTTCTCTTTCTACAGGAAATGTATCAGACGTTCACTGAAAGAGAAGGCACCGGGCAACTTTTGTAAAGTAACACTCTGGCCAGGCACACGCCCCACTTTATTCTGGGTGTTTGCAACTGATCCTTGCTCCTTGCTTAATGTGAATGACAAAACAGGAGGAAAGGAATGTAGGAAAATGTAACATGGTTGGATGGCTTGGCTCAGAAGCATCCATGCACACATGCTAGGAAAAATTCTACCACCAGAGGTCACCAGATGACAACGTTCACTGGCAGCCGCGGGGCCGCCGCTCTTGTGCGCAGAGCCCCCAAGAAAAAGTGTCCTCTTTCCACCCTGTGGTCACTTAACCATATATCACCCATTTTACGTGACACAGATTGCATGCCCTACGAGAGAACCATCCTGGGAGGGCTTTGATCGACCAGCCAAAAATAAAGCAGGCTGAAAAGTCAGCCGCTCAGTAAGTCGCCTCAGTACAAAATCAACCTGGCCTCATGGATGCCGAATTAGGTGGGGGGCTTTCTCTGAAAGTGTAGGCTGAGCAAGAAGTTTGCTGGGCTATGGGCATAACTGTGAACCACACAGTGAACTCTACTGAACCTCCCTGTGCTTTCTTTCTCCTCTCTCAAGCAATGACAAACCCCAGTAATAATTCATGTCTCTTGGTTTGGGAGTATTAAATAAATTTTGAACCTGCACGTGTTGAGAGTTTTGAGCAATCTATTATTAATACTATTATTTTTACCCTTGGAACAAATTTCAAAGCCTCTAAATGTCCTTCTGAGAAGAAAACATTTTTTAACGACATTTGCAAAAGGCTCATTAGTCTTGTTGGGACTCCAAAAAAACTCTCAGAAAACAACAGACTTGATGAACTAACTGTAAATTCTTGGAAACACATGGCATATATTTTCTTTTAAATCTTACGATTTATACAGATCAAGGGAAGAACATCCAGAGGCCCCTTTGAGACGTTTGGAATGACTGGGTGTTGTTTGATGAGCCCTGAAGAGACCAGCTTTCGCCCGTCCCTCCTGGCCACAGCTGGTTTCCCACGTGCCCGCTGGACACCGCCTCATGGACAACTTCTAGAAGCCTTTCTCTACCTGCCATCACTCCCTCTGAGACATACTTGGAAATAGAAATCTTAGTGGCAACAGAGATTTGGGGCATCTAGGCACCATCAAGCACTCTCTTCTACTGGGTCTCCTGGTTTAGTAACGGCTCCTGTGAGGAAGCCAGTATGTTGTTCTCTGGGGACCTTCTAGTTGCTTTTCCAGGAATCCTTCCAAATGCCTCCGCCTCCCCAGGTTGCACACTCTAAACTACCTACCCCATCCAACCCCTTGGGTCATTCAATTTAAATCAAGTTGCTAAAGGCTCATAATGGGTATAATCAAATTTCAAATGTCTCTCTTGTCCTAAAAATGTAAAAAGTCTTATTTCTTGCAAACAAATTTTACATGTATTCATCCCTGGTTTTAAGCGTTAGGAACTGTAATAGGTGCTTCCTTTGGGGTCTGCCTGGTTGGGGTTGTCTGGCCACCGGGTCTCCTTACCTGCGATTCCACCCTGGTTAGATGGCCTGAGGCTAAAATAACAGGGAGAGAACCCCATAGGTCCCGTTGGATTTCCAAGAGTCTGGCTTGTCTTGCCAATATAGAATGCCAACTTTCAGTCTGGAAAACAAGCCATAATCTGCTCAGGGTGGGGAGAGCTGCAGAGGGCTGAGATTAAGGCTCAAGATTAAGAGCATTATATAAACTTTGACCAAAGTCAATGGTCAGTGACTGCCTGTAGCGTGACCGAGTGAATCCCTGAAACCGTAAAGGTGAAAAAGCCCAACAAGAACCTAATAAGATATGGGATGAAACTCTGCATACAAGAGAACTGGTCCTGTGTTCCTGTGTTACCTAACACTAGACGGAGCCGGCTTAGTTTTCTGTCTTTGACAGAAGGGAGGGAAGAGGTTTTAGCGAGAACGGGGTAGCTGCTCTTTGACGCAGGCACAGAAAGCTGGGGATGCGGTGCTCAGGGGAACCCTGCGGGGGGGGGGGGAAGGGGAGCGGCTGCAGGGAAGACCTGTTTCTGTGGCCGGAGCGCCGACAGCATATTTACACATTTGCCAGGGAACCTTCACCGCGGGATCCTTGCTCATGTGACCATCCGTTATTATTATTTTTTATCACTGCAATGATCAAGTGGACGTTTTATTGCTTCTCAAACACTTGTCCATCTTATTCCCTACATCCTTTGGTGGGAAACGTCTGGCACTTTCCACAAGGGAACGACTTCTATAAATGACCATCCCACGAGAGCCCGGCGGCGCCGTCAGAACACCATGGCTGTGTGAGAGTTATTAGAAACAATGCAGGGGCTGATAGAAACCGCCCACCTCTGATTTCAGACAGCCTCCCGCCCCCCTCTTCCAGGAGCCCCAGAGGGGCCACCGAGGGGGCACGTGGTGGAGACGCTGCTGGGAGGCCGCCGGGTGGGCGCGCCGAGCCCTGGGAGCCAGAGGGTGGGCGGAGGCAGCGTTTGTCCAAATCCGAGCCGACCCTGCATTGGTCCCGCACGCACACGGCACTTCAGTAGGAAGATCTCCCGGCTCCTGACCCAAGCGGGGTAAGCTGCCCCACTGCCGCGCACGCACCTCTGCACCGGACTCACTTTTAATAACGCGGAGCGCCGAACGTGTCCGGGCGGCTGGAGGCGTCGCGCCCGCCAACTCCCCTCCCGCGGCACCCCAGCGGCACCCCAGCGGCACCCCAGCGGCATCTCGGACTTGAGGGAGGCTGGGTCTCACACGGCCTGCCTGGCTGGAAGGCCAGAGCACGCGGGGGGGCTGCAATCCTCCCCGGCAAGGGCACGCTTCGGGCAGAAGGCGCAAAATAGACGCTGGCCTGATTTTCAGAGTAGTTTCTCATGAGATCATCAATCAGCTGAAAACATTTTTAAAAACACCCTACGTTGTAAATTGTGTTTTACATCGCTGCTCCACAGAAATTAGTGAGTTTCCTTTTAAAATATTTTATTGACTTATTTCAGAGAGAGACAGAATGGGAGGGAGAGGGAGAGAGAATCCTCATGCCGACTCTCCACTGAGCGCGGAGCCCGATGCGGGGCTCGATCCCACGACCCTGAGAGATCATGACCTGAGTGGAAACCAAGGGTCGGAGGCTTAACCGACTGAGCCACCCTGGCGCCCCAGAAATCAGTGGTTTTCAATCCAGGATTCGCATTAGGACAAAATAGGCGACTTCTTAAAAGTACCCATTCCTGTGCCTTCTCACTAGAGATTCTGCTTCATTGGTTGAGGGTTGGACCCACCTGAACGCAGGCATTTTTAAAAGGCCCTCCGGCACATTCCAGTGTGAAGCGAAGGTGGGGGAGCGCTAACTGGCACAGCATCACCTGACACATGTCATGCCTCTGCTAAGAGGCTCCGTTTGACGGGAGAGGAAACTGAGGCTGGGAGAGGTAACGGGCTCTGTCCGCCATCACTCAGTGTAGAAGGCAGAGCAAAAGCGGGAATCCGGTCTTTAGACTCTGAGTCCTGCCTCAAATTACTAACAACATCAAACATCAGTTGACAAACGTCTTGTCTACATGGTGAGTTATAGTTTACAAAGCACTTTGCACTTTCTCATCATTATCACATGTTATTTTTACAATAATCCTGGGCAGTGGGCAGGGAAGCTACTATAATTACTCCTCCTACTGCTACTATGACTACTACATCATTGCTCCCATTTCAAAGATAAGAACCCCGAAGCTCAAAGGGGTAAGTGGTTTGGGCCAACAACCTTATCTTAAAAGCCTCCAGCGTGCTTAAAAATGTGTGGTGAGGGGCGCCTGGGTGGCTCAGTTGGTTAAGCGACTGCCTTCGGCTCAGGTCATGATCCTGGAGTCCCGGGATCGAGTCCCGCATCGGGCTCCCTGCTCAGCGGGGAGTCTGTTTCTCCCTCTGACCCTCCCCCCTCTCGTGCTCTCTCTTTCTCATTCTCTCTCTCAAATAAATAAATAAAATCTTTAAAAAAAAAATGTGTGGTGAGAAAATGGGCAAACCCTTACACAGGATACACTACATGCCTTCCCCTCATAACAAACCTGAGATGCAAGGACTATTACTAATATGCCCATTTTACAGATGAGGACACTCAGGCCCAGAGAGGCTCCATGAGTTGTCCAAGGTCACACAGCCAGTGAGCACTGTATGGAAGGGGACGAGCTCAGCAGTTGGGCTCTGAGATCTGTACTGTTAACCACCCTGCCATGGCCACCAGAAGCCCTTGGGGCTGTGGGTTCTGTGCCCTTTAAAGGGGCCCTCTACCTGATAAAGGGCTCCCTCAGCACACTCCCCCTACCCAGAGGTGGCTCTGGGGCTGGGTGCCATGGGGATGCAGGGATGGTCCGTCAATAGGAATGGGTGTTCCTGGATCACTGCTTCTAGAGTGTTCTAAGCACCACTGCCCATCCCAGATATAATGGGCCAAAAGTTTTAGAGGGCAGGACCTAGAAAGTGGCATTTAAAATTAAAAAAAATCATTGAAATATTACTGGCATATAACATTGTATAAGTTTAAGGTGTACATCATGTTGATTTGCTACATTTACATACTGCAATATGATTACCACCGTAGTGTTAGTTAACACCTCCATCACGCCCCGTTGATGGAACAATTAAGATCTAGTCTCTTAGCAACTTTGAAGTTTATAACACAGCAACGTCATCTATAGTCACCAGGCTCCGCATTAGATCTCTAGGACTTATTTATCTACCGGTTACAAGTTTGTCCCAGAAGGGGCATTTTCAGCAAGCACTTGGCTGGTTCTTAGGCAAAGAGGTGGGGAGGGAAGATAGTGGTGGTGAAGGTAGAGTTGGCTGCTTCTCCAACCCTCTGGGCCTAGACAGGGCATTTTCCTGAGACCTGAGGGAATTTTCTGTGAGGATGGCTCAGCGTGTCAGAAACTGTGACATCAAGGGGACTCTCTGCAGGTTGCACTGAGGCTGGCTCAGACCAGGAGGCAATT